TATAGATTGAAAGTGCTGATTATGAGCTTATTTAATTTGTTTCTATTTCTGTGCAAGCACACAGACAGATTTTCAAGCCTTTTTCTCGCTGAGATATGTTTACAATCAATCCTTAATAACATGAAGTAGCCATCCTAAATGAATGAAATCAGTGTTGCATCCTGGGGGCTCTACATGGTAATGCACCAGGCACTTTTCATTGCATCGTGCTCTTACTAAGCAACAACGAGAAATCTCCAAGTGTTATCACTTCCACCAGGGGAGCTATGTCAGACAGGCAAGCAGCCCAGTTCTTTGCATGTGTAGATGCCACAGATTGATGGAGGACTTAGCCAACCCCAGCACCTCTAAAATCATCTGCATAGTTAAGCACTAGTATGTCTTGAGAGATAGTAGAAGACAGAGAAGGAGAGGATGAGGGAAGCAGAGAGCTGTCGTTCTGTAAAAGCATAGTCTTTTCTGTGCAGCTCTTTCCATCAGGCCAACATCAGATATCAACAAACACTGACCTACTTCTAAAAAAAAAAAAAAAAAAACGCTGGTGAAAGCTTTCAAGAGGACAGATTCTCCTCTTATATGTAAAGTGTTTTTCATTTTGCAATAGCAGATAAACATAGTCAGCTAACTGTCTGCATTGATTTCCCTCGAGGAAAATCTATGGCAAGTACACACAAGGCAGAGACGTTGTATAGTTTGAATAAAAAGCTCACAAAATATGGATTTAATATAGACAGAGGTAACTTTCAGTAGAGTGATACTGCACCAGAATGGGCCTGCCATTTAAACACTGTCTCATCCTTAGGTTACATTTCATTACTGGTGATCTGTTTACTCAGGTCTAGACTGGGTTTAGCTGAATGCCAAACTGGGATTTGAGAACATTCACAGAGGACAGCTGAAAACTAATTACATACTTGCCTGATAATCATGTATAATTGTTACATGATGTCAAAATGTGAGAGAGATAATAATTACTATTCAGATTCACACTACGAGAACTGACATTGTTTCAGTTGTAAAGCATACTGATTGCAAAACTGCGTTGGTGAGTGAGACATTTCAGCTCAAGCTGTTAGGAAAATCAACCTGCTGTTGTAAAATCCTGCTTGGTTTTGGTGACTACAGTATGTGGTGTGATCTAATGGAACAATATGTACTGAAGACCAAGATCAGCAACAAACAAGTCAAAGGAATCACATGTTTGACCTGGAAGTATCTTTCAGACTTTCAGACTTCATGTCCTTCAGTCATTTAAGCTGCTCATGTTTAGTCTCCTTCCCTCAGAGACAATATGGAGCCACCGCAGTGAATATACTATAACTGTTTGAATGCCTGAGGGGTTGAGAGCTACATGTCTCTTCTTCTCAGAGTTGATTACCAGCAACTGCAATGTGTGTGTGCCTAAGAAAGAGAGGTGGTGGTAGTGCAATGAATGAGAGAGAGTAAATGGCTGACTGATCAACTGATGCATCGATTGACTAACTGACTTGGCTAAACAGCTAAGTGAGTCAAAACACAGTTTGTGTGTGAATACATATGAGGAGTATTAATATCCATCAACCACACAGTCCAGACTTTTCTCCTCAGTCTGCAAGCTCAAAAGTAAAGCTCTGACTCTAGTACTTCTTTAACTCCTCACAACCAGAGCCCCATTTGAATTTCCACAGACAAACTGTCAATGATTTGCATCCAAAGCAATATCCTCACGCCTACTCACTCCCCATCCTCTTCCATTTATGCTCTCTGGGTTAGCCGCATCCTCAAAGGCAATACAGTAAAATGGAAAACTAAACTTCAAAGAGAGTCAATCAATGAGCACAGAAGCCTATCATTTCAGCCAGAGAAAATCCATTGGGGTCCATTCATCAGGTCTGGCTCCAGAGACTAGCCTGACCTTGCTGTGGCCACTGGGGCCTGGGGAACACAAATGGAGTCCATACAGATGGCCCCCTTCACCCCATCAACGCCTCAGACGAGCTGGTTACAGAGGTTACGGTCGACAGAGTTGCTGCTGAGTTTTCTGTCTGTCCTACTGTCTTCACTCTGGCAAAAGCAGTGAACAGTCAGTTTAGACAAAGAGGCACCGCTGCAAGTCTCACTACAACACCGAACATCTCTTGCATTCTGATCAACATTTGCTGGGCATTTGTATGTGTAATGCATTATTATGACTGAAATGTTGTATCAAGGACTTCAGAAAGCAAAAACCTTGAACTTTCAACATAGAGCAACTGAATCCATTAGTACCCTTTTGTTATGGCTGAACTTCATAAGGTGAGCATGTTAATGAAATCATTAAAGGAGTATGCCACTAATTTAGCACTGTACTATATAATGTGACTATTATAACATTGTTGGACTCACGATGGGCAGTTAAAAAATGGATGCATTTAGAGAGATATTATCTTTTTTATCACAAGCATTACTGTTCCTTCTCAAAACTATACAGTACTCTCAACGCAGCTTGACCACCAGCAGTTCAGTTGGAGATTCAGGTGTGTTATGCTAGTAGCAGCTATAGCCTCAAGCAGATATGAGGAACGGGCTACAGAGGTCTTGTAAGCTCACTTCTTTCTAACTCCCCAACCCAGATTTATTTCATTTTCAAACTTGTAGTCTTGAGCCAAGTTACATCACTTGAAGCAATTTATCAGACTTTTCACAGCTCTCTCTGGACCCACAACTAAACAACTTTTTTCGCATATGCAGTAGTACTCCCTAAGACCTGCAAACTGACTTTGATGTGTAAAATTGGCAGAGTTCCCCTTTAAGCAAACTGAATGTGGGAATATTTGTGATAATCAGA